AGGCCACACAAACGAGGATGGAGAGGAGGAGGAAGAAGATGAAAGTACATACGCCTTCAGTACGCTGGACTCGGATTTTATTGCCTGGATGCGTTTGAGTGTGAAGGACGTCACTGTGGAACATCCCTGCTATTCTTCGAGGCAGTCAGAATCCCTCGCCAGTCTCACGCGTCAGGAATTGCTCAAAGTGGTCAACGTATTTAACAGCAACTTGCTTGGCCTACAAATGACCCTGGTGAGTACATTCCTATGCCGAGACGAATTTTTATAGAGCCGATTGGGTCACCTGTTCGGAATCGACTAGGTTAACCACTTACAAATGGATAAAAGTAATTACTACTTCTAGGTGTTTATATTAGGAAAACTTACTAGGGCAAAACGCAAAACGCGAGGGGTTACTGCCTAGAATTTATCGATTTTAATGTACAAAGTATTGGCAGCTGCCGGGTGCGTCGAAAATAATGAGGCGGTAGGTATTTTAAATGGCACTAGCAGAACCGCTGATAGTCGTTTTCATGCATAGTAACCCTAACGTGTCAAAACTTGTTAGTTACCTATTTTTAGCAACCCAGATGCTCTGTTCCTTCAAATACTGCAGGTACCGTTATTCGAGACCCGTTAACTGTCAGTATAAAGTGTGTTTTCGGCTACTACCTTCTGCTTATGTCTCTGATGAAGAACCCGCGACGAATTTCGAAAGGTAGGCGAAGAAAAGTGTTGTCCCAGCGATCAAATCTTTTCCTCTCCTCAAAAAAAGAATTTTCTGTTTATTGCTACCATTTAGCGTTATTTGTAAGCGTTATGAAATTTTTAGAGATTCCTCTGGTATCTTCGTAATAGCATCGAGGAATGCATGGTCTTCTCTGTGTAGAAAAGTTGCAGCTTAGAGTTTAGAGACAGCACTTGCGGTCTAAACTTGTTTTAAGCTGTTTCAAAACCGGATGATACAAGTACAGTAGGCATTCTATCTCAGGAAATCTTTCCAAAAATTCTAAAATGTATTTTTGATTGGAAAATATTATGAAAGTAGGGTTTTGCAGAATCCCAGATATTTCCGTCATGGCACGATGCCGTCCTTCCTAATGGAAAATACATGCGAAAGTATTTCGTATTGTGCCTATTGGATACCAATTCACATTTTCTTCCAACTGCATACTTGAAGAGATGGTATTTTTCGGTTTTAACGGTTTTCAGATTATTTAAGAACGTTGAATTTAATTTTCTAAGAGGGGAGCATAACATGGCATCAATTCATGCATAGTTTCCATAAAATTAGTATATATTCGTAAGGGCATTAATAATCACTGGAAAAATTAACCCACAGGCGTTTGAGCCGGAGTTTTCAGTTAGCACCTATCTTGGGAGTACGGTAAGAGCATTGTAATATGAAAATTACACCCGGTGTAGTAAAAAGTGGTTTGGAGAGTGGACATTTCGTAGTTATCCCATAAGTTTTGACTGGTTTCGACTCGAATGTGCACGTACTTTTTGGGACTGACTCTAAAAAGTCGTGTCCCGGGGACGTAAATTACGCCAAATAAGCGGGAGGGCTATTTTGTGACACTTTCCATAACATAGGTTTACATTTATAAGGAGTGTCAGTAGTCATCGGGAAATATTGCACGACGATCAACCCTAGGTGCTGTTTAATGTGAGTTTGCACCAGAGTCAGTTGCTAATCGTGCATCGTACACATCTGCAGTGCGGACCCAGGTTATCTTGGAAGCGCTCATATCCCATCATCGCATCAGGATTGTTCGGTGCACATCCCTCCTGGGACTGAATATTTTCAGTCCTGCACACGCAGTGTGATAATGCAAGCTAAGCTTGGCGTTTCGTGTAGTTGGCTGATGAGGACTTATAAGCCGGAAACGGCCACTCCAGTTTCCTTTGCCCTTGTCAGTACTCTTTCTCGTCATGCACTACTGCTCATGCGGCTGTCTACGGGGCTCGTTTGAAGGCTGGCTAACGATGACTACTAAATCAGAAATGTTTATTTCAACGAGAACCTCTTTGTCTGTACAACTTATCGATTCTTCTCGATATATTTTGTATCAAGGTCTGGAACTTTTGTTTCTACGAGCTTCAGAGAGAAAGGGAGCATTCATGAGGCAGTGTAGAAAGGCGTTCGCGATTTCAAACCTCAGAACGCAGTTTCAGTTTTTCAGTGATTCAGTAGAACTGAGATAGCAGATCTAACCTACAAGAGGAACGAGTAGCTACCCGGTTCTGTTTTTCACTTTTGAACAGTACATCCCATACATCAGAACACGGAGACATCCAAATCTTCGTTTTTGTACTGCTGGTCTTGGTTGGAATTTTTTGAGAGGTTTTGCGTGGATGCTCCCGCTCGCTTGCTCGCACGCCCGACCAGCGCTGCATTTTTTGCCTCCTAATCGCCGCTCGACAGTTAGCCATTTGGCACCGTCGTCTACGTCTCGCGAAATCCTCGTGTTTTCATGTCTAAGGGGCACAACAAGCATTTGCATTATTATTCGGAATTACGTACCCCATCAAAGCTGTCAAGAGTATACAGCTAGAACAATGTTATACTACTTTCGGAAAGCGTCTCTGCACTGTGGCAGCGGAAGTTCGTAGGACAGAGAGAGAGATGCACTTTATCTTGAACATATCATTCCAACATTTTCCGCCAAAACGTAATCCATTCACCGTAAATTAACTTAGACACACAGACTACATAACATCGGTAGATGAACGAGGAAGAGAGAAAGAGTGAGAGGTGCACTATATTTTGCAAATATCATTTCATTATTGTCAAAAAGACATCCTTCATTCACCGTGAATAAAATGTGACATGCCAACCGAACAACAGCAGGAACTAACAAGTACAATGCCCAAAGATTGCAGGGAGAAATGTCCCTGAATAATTCGCAGATGTAGACCAAATTAGACTTCCTTCAAAACGGTCCTAGCATTGTGCGCTGATGACCCCACTTTTGTGGTCCGAATAAACAAAGAGGGGCAAGAATCTGTTTATACTTTGCACAGTAGACCAACCCATGCGTGTACAGTGGAACCTCGGTTAACGAGGTTAATCCGTTCCGGTACCAAGCTCTTAATATGAAACGCTCGTCTTGGGAGACAGCCAATCAAGCTGCATCAGTTCACTGATTGGCTGCGGGCGACCGAGGACCCACGCCCTGGGAGCAAGACTCACTGGCGGACACGGGCACACATACTGGCAACTCGTTAATTGGGCAGGGACTCCTCAAACACTTATGTGAGTAGTTCGCTTGTTACCTGAAATGCTCGTAGATGGGTTGTTCGTCAGCCGAGACTCCACTGTATAAGACAATTTTCATGCATAAAGGGTATAAAGAAATGGCGCACAAAACGGCAGTTTCTAACATCGTGAAGAATCGTCCTTGCAAAATTTAGGGCAAAAACCTAGATTTTCTGCCAAACTGTGCTACCGTCGTGCGAGCAACTATTCTCGTTGTTGTAGTTATAATAAACCCAGAGGGGTAAAAATCGGTTTATTATGGGCGTAATAGGCCAACCGATGCATACGTCAGAAATTTACAGAGGACAGAAAAAGAATGAGTCTGCTAGACTTCACAGACTTTTTTTGTGAAAATCTAATCTCTCGGGTGTACCTCGCAGTAGCTAATGGACTTCGATTCAATCACTTCCACTGATCTACTACGAAGTATAACTTAATTTCTGAGAAAATCACGAAGCTACGCATTGGGGCCTTTAGTTTGAACCATCTTCCATACATTCCCCGTAAACCGCCGCAAGAGGACGCTTAAGGTGTGCGTGTTTTCTCTTCGCAGCGCAGACCCGCATCTGATGCCTTTGTTACATCTCCTCACCTAGAACGTTGGATCAACGCCGTCCGCACACTAGCCTACGATGGCGGTTTTTTTTCTGAGAGTGGGTCTGCTTTCGCTCAGACCGCGATGTCTATCGTCTGTCGCCTGC